AGGATGGTGCTGAGGCCGAGGGCATAGGCAACTGATAAGATAGGAGTGGCCTTAACTTTAACAGGGAAATCAGGAAGAGGCAAGGATTTGGGGGAAACAGTAATGAAATCTGGTTTGGATGGGTTGCGTTTAAGATGCCTATAGGACATCCACTCCAGTTTAGGGGAGCATTAGGCCTGGATACACAGATCTGGAAATACTCTGTACAGAGATAACCGAGCCCATGGGAGCTGATGAATCACCCAGCCACAAAATACAGAAAGGAAAGAGGAGGGCCAGGGCAGAGTCTTGGAGGACATCTAGGATTATTAGGTATGACCTGGATGAAGAGCCAGCAATGGAGGTTAAGGAGTGGTCAGACAGAGTAGAACTAGTAGAAAGTAGTGTCATGAAAACTTAGAGAAGAGAGAGTATCCAGTAGAAGGGGATGATTTACAAGTGTCAAAGGTGGCAGGGATCTTGGCAGCCTTTACCAGCTGACTGCAGTTTGAGAGCAACTGATTATCTTTTTCTTTTTTTTTTTTTTTGCGAGTCAGAAAATCCGACTTTCACATGATAGTTTTGTAGAACCAAAGAATGACAGTTAGGTGGGGTATCCCTGTATAGAATTCATGACAAGAATGTTACAATCTCACCTGAGAAAGAATACTATCAAATTCAATGCGTTATTCTTTCTAGCTTAGTGGACATTTTCTGCTTTTACCACCAATTGTCACAATAGGAGATTATAATGAAAAATCTAATTGTAAAGTTTTAGCCTTGAAATATAAATGTCAAATATGAAAATGTTAGTGATTTGCTTGTGTCTCAGAGGAAAAGAAAAACATTTAAACAAATTTTCCTGGATATCAATTCTTTTAAGTCTGACCTTTCATTCTGTCTTTTTAAAAGCAATGACCGAGCTAAAGTAAAACAGGAAGTGTTAAATTTATATAAGAATAACTTTCATTTAGTCCCACTTTTCTGTTTCCTGACAACCTATCCATCAATTTTTTAAAAAAATGTAATTTATCTTTCATATCAAAACAGAATTTTCTCTATACATTTTTCCATTGGATAACTGCAGACATTTAATCTTAAGAGTTGCAGCTAGGCTGTATAGTGGATAGAGAGCTGGAGGTTCAGTCAGGAAAACCCGAGTTCAAATCCTGCCTCATACACTTATTAGTGATGTGACCCTGGGCAAATCACTCAACCCTGTTTGCCTTGGTTTCCTCATCTGCAAAATAAGCTGGAGAAGGAAATGGCAAACTTCTTCAGTTTTTTCCCCAAGAAAACCCCAAATGGGGCAACAAAGAGTTGAATGAATGAAGTGACTAAATAATAACACAACACCAAAATCTTGAGAGAAGCAATGTGATGTGGTGAATACAGGGCTGGCTTCAGATTCAGACAGACCTAGGTTTAGAATCCATACCTGACATATACTAGCTGTGTGTCGTTGGAGGACAAGTCATTTAAACTCTGTGCTGCAGACAATTCTTTAGGATTACAGGTCACAGAATCCTTGTAGATGGGCATTTATAGAGATGTCTTCTTTACATTAATGAAATCACTAATCCATACCTTCTCCCAGGCAACCTTCCCCTCTCTGCCTTCAAAAATATCTTAAGGGTGTACTGGAATGTTGGCCCATGGTATATGGAGTACTAGATTGGAGTCAGGAAAACCTGGGCTAAAATCTTGCCTCTGTTACTCTAAGAAAGTTACTCAGTCTCTGAACTTCACTTACCTTAAAGGGTTATTGTCAGGGTCAAATGAAAGAATCATGGATCTGGCATAAGAGGACCCAAGTCTGAATCCTGGCTCTAATACTTACTACCTATATGACCTTTCTGATCCTCATCTGTAAAATGAGAACTACACAACCCTTCTAGATATAATTCAGCTAATCCAATCACATAAACACGTCAAACATTTTACTAATATTAAAGTGTTTGAGAATTGTCAGTGGTTATTTATATTCTGATTAATTGAATGCTCTTTAAAGCCGTTCAGTTTCCAACAATATGGAATTTCTGTTTCTCTATCTGTTAAAGGAAAAGGTCAGACTAAATGATCTTTCTAAGGTACCTTTCAATTCTACATCCTATCCTTTGCAGACCCTGGCTATGTGCTAGAATAGGTTCACTTCATCCAACATACTTTAATCAGATGCTACTTTCATGGACTTAATTATTAGAACTGTCAGGAAAACAAGAAAATGTATTGCTGCTTGCAGAGAGAAGATGAAGTTTATATATTATAAAAAAATCTCAGAATTGGAAGCCTATTAAATGCAGTCAATAACTGAACAGCATTCTCTATGATGTGCCTGGTAGGTGATCATCCATTGTGAGAGGGGGACTCACTACTTCCCAAAGCATCTCATTCTTCATTTGAAGAGTTCAAAATGTTAGCACATTTTTTCCTAACCTCAAGCCCAAATTTGCCTCCAGAGTCATAATTAGCATTACTGGCATCTGAAGTCAAGCATCAGAAAATGCACTGTGCAAGAAGAATGAAAAGCACCCACCAAGCAACTTTTGAGGAGTGTGAGTTCTGGCAGACATTTGTCCTGAGGGGAGAAAAGAGCCTGTGAAACTGCCACTCATAGTGGCAGCCTTGTCTACAAGGCTGCTGCTAGGGAGTCCAGTAGGAGATTACAGAGCAAGGTGTGGCCAGACAGGAGGAGTGGACCCCATCTCCGCTGAGTCCTGAAGACAAAGGAAGGTGAGGGAGCAGGCTATCTGATAGTTTCCTGTTTCAAGGATTATTTTGGCTAATGAGATAGAAACTCAGGTGTTTCTGAACACTTTAGATAAAAGGATTTGTTCTGTGAATTTTGAATTCAGTCAAAGGGCTGCACTTGATGGCCTGGAGGGCCGCAGGTTTCACACCCCTGCTTTAGGAATTCCCAGAGCTGCCAGTGACCTTTAAATATCAGCATTCTGGGTCAATGTCCCAATTGGCCTGTCCTAGTTACTGCTGTTTTCATTCTACCTAATGCTCCTAGTTCTTCCTTGCAGGGTCAAGCTGGACAAGTCTAACCTTTTCCCATGTGACTATCCCTCAAAAACACAAGGACAGTTGTCATGTCTCCCCATGTCTTTCCTTCTTGTTAAATATCATCCAGTTCCTCAACTTACATTTGCATGATATGATTTGAGGCCCTTCACCAATTCTAGTGGTTTTCCCCTGGATGCCCCTCAGTCTATCAACGCCTATTTTAAATGCAGTACCCAGAACTAAATACAACTCTGCAGATGGTGTCTAATCAGGTGGAGAACCTGAGATAACCAAGTTGCAGGGGACTCAGCCACGGAATTACACTGAAAAAAACACCTCACATGGTAAACTCACAAGTCAATTGGGATAAATTCAATTTTTAGATTTTTTTTCTTTACTTTTGTAACTTTTTTTCTTTTGCCTTCATTAAGCCAAAGATATTCATTTGGCAGGGTTTTTTTTTATTCTTTTCAGTTCATCGTTTGGATATCATGTAATCAGTCTCAATTTTTGTAAGGCCATTTGATAAGTTTGCTTATAATAATATCCTATGTAAAGCAAAACATTTTTCAGAGACTATTTAAATAAAAATGAAAAAAAAACCAAGCTGTTCTCATCTGAACAAATGATACAAACTTGCAAGTGATGGCTCATTTTCAATACTACTGATTAAGAACCTTAACAAAACGCTGATGATGGTAAGTAGCACCTTGACCTTCCTCCCCATAAGTTTGGCATTGAAATGGATGACTTAACACTTGAATCTCCTCTCTTTTTACCCGACTATTAGAAAGTGGCAAGGAAGTTTGTGTGGTATAAGGGTGTGGAGGAACAATTTAACCATAGCCAGAAACATATCTCAGTGAAGCTATGGAAAAGCTGAAGAGCCAATTCCATGCTCAGCTGTTCATGTACAACTCCCAAGTTATATTTTTTAATATAAGGCCAGAGAACTAAAAACAAGCCAACTGGTCAAAATTTATTACATTAAAGTTCCCTCTGAAGAGCAGCAACATTAATTTTTCTCTGTAACCATGGAGTACAGGAAAGATGGTAAAATGTTTGGCTGTGTTACAGTTTTAAACCTTAAACCACATGTGAAAAAGCTTTCCTTTTCTTTTTGAACAAAGAGTTCAAATTTTTAAAAATATTCAATCAAGTTTAAAATGTGAAAATAATGTCTCCTTTTTAAAGACACCTAGCAATTTTTTTTCCTCTTCCTGCAATGAGAGACAGTTGAACCCTGACCAAATAATGGACAATTTTGGTACAGAAAGGAAAAAAAGTAGTGAAATACACTTCTTTCCTCTCCATAGAGATGGAAGATTACAGGTATGCACATGATGTTAGATATGGCTACTTAACTGCCTTTCTGTTGCAAGGGGAGTAAAAGGGGGATGTTAATACGTTACTTTCCATCATTGGGAAATGATTATGATATCAACATGTATCACTGATATATTAAATGGTAGAATAAATGAACCATCAATCAAAATTAGAATAAAAAATAAAATGGTTTTAAAACTGAGTAATGCAATGAATATCTGTGATAACATAGAAAAATAAGGACACATTTGATTGTGCAATATATGTACAATGAATAAACATTAACTTTTTTTCAATATTTAGACAAACCTAGTTTTGTAAAGAGACAAATACCAAGGTATACTATGGGCTCTGTACCTAAATTAAATTTTACCCTGTATAATTTTAGGGTGATTTCACATACAGCAAAACAGATTACTGTTTTATATTAATTTCCCTCCCCCCCCATACTATGAAATAAATGGCTTAAGCTTAATCAGAATCCCTATGAAGTCCTTCTTACAAGGGGTATGTCATCTACCCTATCCTCCCTTCCATGCCTAAACGAATACATGAGTAGAATTGCCAAAAACATCACATTTCAATGTTGTTCTCCATGCTACCCAGCCAGGCCTTCGTATCTTATGACCATCATCCATTCCCCCATCAATTATACCAACGTATGAGAACCATTGTCAAATACTAACTTTCCGAGTCAAAGGATGGCAGCTGTCTCCCACGTTGCCCATCGGTGTGCACATTCGGAGGCTTCTGATCCAAATACTAACAGCACAGCACATGCCACCGCCACATTGGGGGTCCTTGTCACAAGCCTGAAAGTAAGAAATAAGTGGACTCAATTAGGCAAAGGACATTTTACTCTTTATTTTTTTTTACATTTTACTCTTTAAAAAATATCTAAATGTAATGTGATCAAATAATATGATCAGTGCAGTAACCGGCACATGACAGATGCTTAGCAAATGCTTCTTGGTTTGTGATAACTTATGAGTAAGCAGTTAGGTGACAGTGAATAGAGTGCTGGGCTTGAGGGTAGAAAGATAGGAATTCAAATCCTGCCTCTGATACATACTGGCCATGTGACCCTGGGCAAGTTACTAATCTCTATCAGCCTCAGTTTTCCCAACTATAAAATGGGGATAATAATAGCACCCATTTCACAGGGTTATTGTGAGGATCAAATGAAATAATGTATATAAAGTACTTTGCAAACCTTTATATGCTATATAATGCTATAAGTAGATATATATGTACACATATATGTACACACATATACATATATATACACATGTGCTTACATATGTGTGTATTCAATTATATATACTGTTTCAGAAAGGACTAAATACTGCCCCTATTTTATTAAAATCTCAAATGTAAGGATATAAAATCAACTTTCTATTTCTAGCATTTTACGGTTGAATTGCCTTTGAACTGAAAAACTACCATATGTATTATTCTTACACCATACAAGGCCATTACAAACTATATATTAAATAACAAGATATTATGACTATTAACTGCAGAATCTCTTAAGCTTGAGTTTTAAAGGATTTTAAGAGTCTATAAAAGTAGTGTGAAATGCTAGACATCCAGAAATTCACAACATGAATTTCAGAAGTGCTCAGTTTCTCCAAATTAGTTTATGCCGCTTGATTTTTCTTATCCAATTATCTTAGTCCTTTAACATTTACAATTTCTCCATATAAAATAACCTTTAAAGAGGCCAGTATGACCATATCAAGACTCTTTTTTTTTATTAATTAGAAACAATTACTGCCCCAAGTCTGTAAAATTTAAGTTTTGGTTTAGAAGAATATCTTTATTTCTATATTACCAAAATCATTCAGCTAGGAGCTATAAGGTAAAACCAGTGGGTGCTTTAATCCCACCCTATCTAAAGTATCAGATGACTAAATGTAATTGACTCTGATATGGAATCCTAAACACTGATTCCTGCAGATGCACTATCCTAATATAAAAATTAAATCCTAACATAGAATTAAATTAAGATACAACAAAAATGACATGAAGGAATCTCAACACATTACAAACTTGAAAAGTAATATGTTACAGTAAATCTAAAGCATGTTAGAAAATGCATGTTAAAATAGAGAATATGAAAGATGTACATTACATTTTGACATGTGTAATAGACCTCAAATTCTGATCTCAACCTATATTACACTTCTACAGGAGACTGAGATAACAGCTAAGTCCCTAATTTACTACAAATCATAACTTATGTTTACCTGAAATGGCTAAGATTGTTCTTCAAAGTTCTCAGCCAATATAGTAGCCATATTTCTCAAAATAAAGATATACATTATAATGCTACAATGATTTGTTCTTCAAGTGACCAACTTTTAAGTTCTAGTGGTTAGGATGTCTATCTAAAACCAAACATATGAGAAAATGCAAGCTTTTTGTCAATTATCTGGGTGTTTGGAGTTATAATGAAAAAAATATCCAAATATTTGACTAATACTTAACCTTTCATCTGAATGTTTGATGTCATAGATGTATAAATATTTTTTTCAGAAATTCATTTTCATGCAATAAATCTGTATGAATAGATCTATCCCTTTCTAATTATGTCTATCTAAAATAAAAACATTTATGATCAGCACTATAGTTTTTCTGCTTAAATACGTGCTAAATCTTTATCCCTGAAGCTTCATTGGCTTTGTCAGCAGAACAAACAAAAATTCAAAAAATGACCAAAAAAAATGCCACAGACAATTTAGATGTCTGACACTGTGAAGACAACATTGCCAGATAATTAACCAACTTATCCACTTTTCATCCAGACTTTTGCTATCAGGAAAACAAAGATATAAATTCTCCTTTGCTTATCAGTAATACTTAAAATTACTTTAAAAAACAATCCAGGACAATAAAAGTTGCTCTAAAATGTACAACAAATTATGAAAGTCATTCATCTTACTCAGAAAAAAATGACAAAAATGCTTTGTTTTATGGAAAGTATATTTATAAAGGTGAATATGCTGGTTTTTACATTCACTAATATCTTTTTTCTTGACCTACTGACATTCATTCAAGTGACACACTGTAAGAGGATTGGAATAAACAGAATGTCCCAGAAATCTAAGCTTAAAACTGCACTAAAACTTCTGGGACACTCCGCATCTACTGCTATTGCAACAGTACCTTTGCTAAGAGGTTTTAAAAGTTCCTGCAAGACAGTTAAAATCAAGTAGTAACACCCCTTCCCTTAAGGTCCAAAACTGCACAAAACTTCATTAGCTTAACTAACTTATTGACAGACTAATTTTCTGGCTAAAGGCGAGTCAGAGGCACATTTTTATTAGCACACAAGTAATTACCATAGAGGGTCTTCTTCGTGAAATATTGTGAATTGTGAACCATGGGAAAAATTTTTTAAAAATCACTTGGGTATTAAGGTGCTTTATTTTCAAGGTACATATTATGCTCCAGTTATAATAACTTCAAAAATACAAACTGTTCTAATTAGTGAAACTAGCAATTTTAATTACTTGAGTATTTAACAGGTGTATGAAACAATTTCACTGATTAAAATTTAGAGGACTATGGTTTTCCAAATGGAAAATGGACTGTACTATTAAATTTAAACTTGGTGATGGTATTTTGTTATTTAAATTTTTCCAGTGAGGACAAAATATTTAACACAACACTGGAGAAAAAAAGTTGCACTAGTTTTTCTCTTTCAAGAAAAAAATGAAGACTTCTATCATTTTTCTATGTTTAAACAATATTTATGGGTTTGGGTTTTTGGGGGTGGTAAGGAAAGGAAGAAGAAACCATTACTCCATAATTTCGCTGAAGAACTAAGTAATGGAATAGAGACGTGCGGTTTCACGTACAGTTCTCATTATCTACACTGCTTTGTATATGGAAATACTCCTTTTATTCGGTGTTTGTGAAATTCAGAATAAAAAAATTAAAAATCAGTTAAGCAAAACCAGCAGAAAAAAAGAAGCCCAAGAGTTAGGAACCATAGTCTCTTGTTTTCGCGTTAATTGATCAAGACTCGGTAATGGAAAACATTTTCAAAGCTAACCTCAGAAAGAAGAGCGGTACCCGTAGAGAAATGTACACAAACGCTGTACAATGAGAACAGAACAAAGTCCCTCCAGCTCATTTCGCTGCTGCTGCTCAGCCTCAGGTTGGAGAGAGGATTTCTGCGTTTTTATTTGGGAATGGGGGGGGTCATGAATAGGGAGCAAAAAATAATGGGGGAAATGAGAAGGAAAACTGGAGCCACCAAAATTGAGCGAGAGGTTGGGCAACTGGGGGCAGGAGGAAAGGGGTAGCTTCCCTGCTCTGGGGTCAGACAGCTGCAGTGGTCAAGCTCAAGATGCATTAGGGTCTCTCGGAGCCGACTCCACGCAATGTCAAAATCAAAAACAAGGTACAGACCTCTCCCTTACTCTTGCCCCACCCCCGTCCTTTTGAAGCCTCGAGCCCCCAAAACCGCCACGACTCTCCTGCCCCAGTCCCTGCAACCGCGGACGCTCAAGACGGAGGCGGGATAGACGGGTCAAGAGACAACTTTTCCTTTCGCAATTGAATTTGACCGACGGACAGACTGCCTGCGGACCCAAGCCCAGGGTTCTGGGTGTTACCAGCTCCCTGCCGGCAGGGGTGGAGCGGGTCAGGGTGGGGCTGGGGCAGGTGTAGGACGGCAGGCGCTTCTTACCCCAGTGATGACGGCGGCGTTGCCCGAAGACGGCAGGAGCAACAGGAGTCCGAGCCCAGGAGCAGCATCAGCGGAGGGGACGGAGCGCGGCACGGGGTCCTCATGGAGCCCTCTGGGAAGCGGGCAGAGAGCCGAGCCGAGGTGGAGCGGGCGGAGGAAGCGGGGGCGTGCGGGCTGGCGGGCAGGCTGCCACTGGGCGCTGGAGGGGGCCAGGCAAGGGGGCTTCGGGCGCACAAGGTGGCAGGGGACGCCTGGACCGGAGGGGAGCGGACGGGACGAGCGCCCAAACAGGCAGGGAAGGGGCGCACCGACGGAAGCCCCTGGACCGTCGGGACCGTTGGGACGAGTCTGGAGCGCGAGGGAGACGAGAGGCCGGGGAAAGGAGGGGCTGGGAAAGCAGACAACTAGAAGCGCCGGCGGTGAAGGCGAGAGGCGGAGAGGAGGAGAGCCCCGCTGCCTGGGCGGCTCCCCGGAGCATCCTTCGGAGCCGAGCCGTTATAAAGAGCCCGGGGCCGCTCGGCGAGCCCCACCATGAGTCACTGCTGCACCCGCCCGCCTGCGACGCGCGTAACGAGGCAGTGGCTCACGCGCGCACACACGGAGTCCAGGGACGAGGGTTGCAAACATACTCACAGCCACACACGCACACATGTAGTTAGGGACGAAGGGTGGTACACACACACTCACATGTATACACACACAGCTGCACATAGGAGTGTAGGGACGAGGGGCTGTACACATACACATGGGCGCACACAAGCAATCTAAGGATGAGGCTCAGCACACAGACACCCACGCGCACAGAGTCCAAGGACTAGACACTATTCACAGCAGACTTGCTCACATGGTCCAGGTATGAGACATTAAATACTTCTGAGAAAACCATGACTAGAGGATTTTCTCCCCCACCTTCCGAGCATCCTTTTTCACACGATAAAACTTAGGAAACCTATAGTCTTCCTTTTCAACACCCCACCCCATCATACACATCCTCAAAGTAGATCTATTTCTCTTCTTTCTTATCTCTCTCTTCTTCCTTTCCACTTATGACTTCTGACATTTCTTCCACCTTTCCTCTATTTTCTGATTGTCTTCTCTGCTTTCCCTCTACGTTTTGGGAGTTACCTGCATTTTTTTTCCTTCTCATTTTAGCGTTTCCCCAACTCATCTCAAGGCAATAACTATGAACTTAAAGAAATACTGGTATTGTTGGTATTGTTACCAGTTTAATCCCCTGTGACCTCATGTAGGATCAGAGTTAGTCACAGATCTGGAGCTAGAAAGTCTCTAACCATCCCCGTCAATTTTGTGTATGAGAAAAGGCCCAGAGAAATCAAGTGACTTGGGCTCCTGGATTGTAGATCTAGAAGGGACCCAGAAGCCTGAAGTATATCTGTTGATAGAATTTTTTCCCCCCAGTAATTATTTCAACCTCAAATATTTGTCCTTGTCTGGTCTATTGTTCCTTGTCTGGTGTGCCAGTCACGTGCAAACTGAATTTTGATAATAGTTTCAGAATTAGAGGGAACATTCAAAGTCATCTAGCTTAACCCCTCATTTTACAGCTGAGGAAATAGATGGGGGAGGGGGATGAGTGAGTTAAATGATTTGCCCAAGGTTTCAAAGTTATCAGGTGGTAGAGTCCTAATTTGAACTCAGGCCCTTTGACTCCAAATCCATTGCTCTCTGCACACTACCCATTTCTACTCATTTTGGGGTTAATTTCTTACTTTTCATATATCTTATTTTCTTTTTAATTATGAAAGACAAAGATTTTAAAAGATGTAGCAGAAATTCCCCTCTGAGATCACTCTAAGGTTTTCATGATTTCCTTACCTTTTTTCCTTGATTTAAAAAAAAGCTTTCTCATCAGAAAAACAGAGTTAGTAAAACTTACACTACCTACATCATGTGTATCTGAGAGCAAGCATGAGAAACCTTATCTTTTTGAGTGAAGTTTTTGGTTAAGCTATTTATGATAAAGAACTGTTAGCACCTGTTGCTGTTGCAGATGATGGAATTAAGGACTTCACCAGAAGAGTCCATACTAAGACTTTCTCTTTGTCAAATATTCAAATTAAAAGTGGAAATGCAGTCAGTTGGTTATCTGAATGTGAAACAGTTGGATGGATATTTGTATATATCATGATATTTTATTCTTCATCCAAATGTTTTAGTATCTTGTAGATACAGCTTTAAACATGGAAAGAAAAAGGAATCTTGCAAGTTATAAAAAAAAGTTTAAAATTGAACTCAATCGGAAAATAGATGGAAAAAGTAACAAGTGATGAAATTATGGAAGAGTCTAGTTTTCCAGCCTCAGTGCCAGTACTATTGAGGAAAGGATGCAATGTAAATGTAAAAAACACTCATAACTAATTTTGCTATTCCTTTAAAATAGTCTGCTTCATATTCATTATTATTGAATACTAGCTATATAGTTTCCTAAATGTGGTATGCGGATTGTGACTACACAAATGTCAGCTTTAAAGAGTGGTTGAATTTTAAAAATCATTTTAGTTAATCATAAGATCATAGATTAGAACCAGAAAAGACTTTAGAAGCCATCGAATCCACTGCTTTATATTATATATGAATAAACTCAGGAACAGAGAGGTTAAGTGATTTTCCCAGGATTACACAGCCATTAAGTGTCTGGTTGCTAGAGTCCAGCATTCCATCTACTATGCCACCTGCTCTCATAAATCAAGAAAAAAAAAAGCTCTGAAATATTTTTAGATGAGATTATTGAGTTTCATTTAATTTCCAACTATTTTCTCCCTGTCTTTTCCATTATTTTACTCCTTCAGAGTAGAAGTGGATTGAGCCTATTTTGAGAGAGAGGTTCATAATGAAGATTTTATGAGAATATTGGAATAGCAGAAGTGGGACTCTCATAGTATGGGAAATTTTATATATTTTATGGATCCAAGAGTGGAGAAGGGGAAAAAATCAGTCAGATGGCAAGATTAATGAAACAGGGCCTGGATAAAACCCTTTAAGATCCTGCAAGAGTGTTCTCTCTGAGAATGACAAAGGATTTAATGTAGAGATCTCTTAAAGACTCAAAACTGAACACTAGCAATGAACTTAATAAAATTTAGTTATCATGGCAATTAGAAATGATGCTTTGAAAGAAACCAAACTTTATAAAATAGGAAGATGTTAAAGAAATCAATGAGGAGAGCTGAATAAAAAAAGCCAAGTAGTAAGCATCACAATAAATTAATGAAATAGGTAGCTGGGTGGAATAGTAGATAGAGGGCTAGGTAGTCAGGAAGACCTGAGTTCAAATCTGGCTTCAGACACTTATTAGCTGCATGACTTTGTACAAATCATTTAATTTTCTGTTTACTTCAGTTTCTCATCTGCAGAATGGTGATAACTAAGCACCTACCTCCCAGGGTTGTTGTGAGGATCACATGAAATAATAATTGTAAAGTGCCTAACAGAGCAATGTTATAATTTGACTCATTTCAGACAGAAGGAAAGGCAAATAAGAGATACAGAAGAATTACTTAAAATTCAGTTCAGGAGATAACGTCCAGAGGAAATGTATGTTTCAATGAGCTAGAAACTTTCCCCATAATTAGGGTGTCTCCATGTAGAGGAATCAAAGGAAATTTGACATAGGGTGGAGACAGTCCAACTTCTCCTTCTCCTTCCAGGCCTTTTTCCTGAGGTTCCTGTCAATTTCAGTTTACATTAATTCACCCCTTCTTTGTCTGCTTGTATTTTTCTTTATATTTATGCTTTGCTCATAAATTATCTTATTTTTATGTTGTCCCTCCCCAGCTCTGTCACAGATTCGTTGTGGCAAGGAACATGAGAGGCTGTCATTTTTTGGTTCTGTAAACATAGTGTGCACTACATAAATAGTTAATGATTGCTTCTGACCTTTTCTTTCCTTCTTTCCTGTGTCTTCCCTCTCCTACCTCCTTAGCATGGATAACTTGCATTTATACAGTTCTGGAAGTTTTGCAAAGGACCTCATTTGGTCTTCACAACAACTCTCAGAAGTAGGTGCTATTATGGCACAGAGATCATTGAATGGGCGTGGTCTCAGACAAACTGACACCTAGGAAAGACCTTAATTTAGAAAGGCCAAGGTCACCCCCTACAGTCTGGGCTGTGGCCGGTCATCTTGACACTTGTCTTTCTTTTCACTGGGCTTTGTTGACTCTGGAGAAGATACTGAGGCTGATGATTTTTCAAAGCTCTGACTCACATATCCAATTAATTGGCAAGTTAAGACATCCCTCTCATAATGTCACTGGTTCTCTTCTAGAACGAAGGACATATAACAACAACAACAATGATTGATGGTATATTACATTCCACATTGTAGATCACTTGAAAGTGAGCTATATTTTGGTGAACGGATGTAGGTGAAAATATGCAATTAAGAGTTTGTCCCCATAGGCATTTCCAGACCTTCAGATTTCAGTAAATTTCTAGTTGTCATTCAGTCATGTCTGACTATTCGTGACCCCATGGACCATAGCATGTCAGTACTGTCTGTGGGGATTTCTTGGCAAAGATACTGGAGAGATTTGCCATTTCCTTCTCCAATGGATTAAGGCAAACAAAGGGTAAGTGACTTGTCCAGGGCCACACAGCTAGTATATGAGGCCAGATTTGAACTCAAGTCTTCCTGACTCCAGGCCCAGCACTCTATCCACTGAGCCACCTAGCTGCATAAACTTCCAGTGCCCCCATTCAATAAAACATAAAATAAATTTTTGAGTTCATCACTGATGTGCACATAAGAAAATCTTCCCCCCCCATGCAATATGAAAGGAAATAAATTCCAAAGGTTATCCTATACATGTACACAAGAAATAAGGACTTCATTGATTTCAATAGGATAACATATCTACTAAATCTTCACTATACTCCTTCTTTTACCTCTGGGGGTTTTATTAAAGAGTGTTGGATCTGGAGGCAGAAAGAAGGAAGTCTGAATACTGCTTCAGATACTTGCTATCTGTGGGCTCTTGGGCAAGTCACTTAATTTTTGTCTGTCATGGTTTTACTCATCTTTAAAATGGGGATTATAATCCCATGTACCTCACTGGGTTGTTGTGAGGACCAAAGGAGAGAATATATGTAAAGTGCTTCACAATTCTTAAAATAATGTTAATGATGAAGTTAATGGTAGGTGTTGTTACA